GTAATATATTAGGAGAATGTACTTTCAGTTGAAGGCTGTTTCTCAGCATTATTTCTTTGGCAATCTAGAAACCATTCTGTCACATCTCCATTCACTGCAGGGGTATTACAGTGCACAGTTCTACCACTAAATAATAGGCACAAACTAGCAGAAGGTATCAAATTTACTGTGAAGTCATTTCTAGGCCTACTTTCCTGTACTGACAAAAGGGGGGGTGACAAAAGCCTTTGAAATATGAATAAAAAAGTGGGTTTTAAATGTATTTCCCTGTATACCAGGGAAACTCATGGCTCAGGTTTACATGAAGACCCTAAACACAATGCAACGGGGCAAAAGCAAAACAGTCCCTTTAACAACAAAGCAAAACTGTCAAAGAAAAATGACAATGTTCTGTGTCATTTTGTTTCAGTTGCTAAATTATGTAGACTAGGCTGTACGTCTCAGTAAACAATACACTGTCAAATCTCCCCTTCTAGATGTTTGTGAAAACAATTCAAGAAAGAAGTCACACTGCATTCAAAGAGAAATTGAGAGGAATTTCAGGTACCAATTACAGAGATCTTCAGTTCTCATGTTAGAAAAATTACCATCCCCTAATACTACTTCTGCTTAGCTGGGCATGTGTAATAAAGGACTGTTTTACAAAAGTAAAAAAAAAAAACAATGATCTGAAACAAAGGATAATAATCTGTGTTCCAGAGTTAAAAAAAACTGACAATGATATTATCTGATGGTACAATTCAATTCTCCCACTCATGCCGACAGGGAGAAAGCACCCTTCTATACAGCTACTGTTAGAGACAGAACTCTGTCCCACAAAGCCATCAATTCAAACGAGCAATGTAGGATTCCCATCGCTACAGTATGTTGAGCACAAATTAAAAGGCTGAGAGCTGGATGCAGTTCCCCTAAAACAAAGCCCTAATTAAGATGCATTTATTAGGAATTATGGAACAGACATGGGGGCAGAAATGCAAACAACACGTGACAGAATCTCACCCCACGGTACAGTCCTGTCTGACATCGGCCACAGCCACCGGCCCTCACAGCGCGCTGCACATGGCCACGACGGGCACACTGAGCCGGGGAACCGGGCTGCAGCAGAGGAAGGGGTCCACACCTCCAGGAGACATGGAGACATGCTGAACTTTCAGAGAGGGTTTGACCTCTTCAGACCCTGACACCGAACAGGAATAAGCACCGTGCTTCATCTTAAATAAGTTTTATATACCATCCATTTTGTAGATGTGTAATTTTAAGCATGTTTTAAGATCCTTGTATTGAGACCAAACAGTCACTTTGCCAATAGTTTCACATCAGCTACATTATGCCGTTCCTTTTATCGAGAAAACGTTGATTTCTGTGTAGCGATGCAATGGTTGGACAAGATCACATTGCCGTCATTAGAACTCACCCGCACACTCAGTTATCTTTAAGAGTTGCAGTACTTGCTTTTTGTCCATGTGTAGACCTTTTAGGGCGGATTCTGACTTAGAGGTGTGCAGTTATAATCCCACACAGATGGTGGCTTGGAACCACTGTTCAAGTCCAGGCTCAATTCTTTACAACCAGTCGCATGAAATTGGTTTGGTGAGCTCGTACAATTAAAGACCTACAATACAAATATACAACATAAAGCCAATAATAGACAGCATCCACCCAGCACATTTACATGTACAAGCCATCCTAAGCACACAACAGCATTAAAATACAGAATAGTGGGGCCTGACAGAATACCAATGAGTGTAACATTGGCCCCTCAACCCAGGACAGTCACCAGACACACACTGAACCTGGGCTTCGGATGGAGCCTGATGTGCAGGTTTTAGACTGCAGGGATCTGTCACTGATTCATCACCTTCTCTCTCGAGGGTGCGTGACCACCAGGAAAGAGGAGTCACCACCAGAGAGACGAGATGTCATTGGGGTGTCGCGCTTAGCATGGTGAGGGGGTAATAAGAGCCTGCCACGCCAGGAGTGTTTACGTCTGGACAGTCACGAGACACTGCTTCAAGAACGCGTGATTATATGTTGCAAAGAGCGTAGCTGGTTTTGAATCCATCGTCAACAATCCCAGCTCGGCAGAGTTCTGTATACAGCACGCCTATCGTGAATACGGGAGTCAGGCTCCAGCTGGTTGCACAGAGTAGCCTTCGCTAGCTACAGCTTGGATTGCTGTGCGCTTGTCATAGGACACTTTCTAGGAGCCACAGCGTTGACCATGCCAGCGTTTCAGATCCCACGCAGATGCGGTGCACCCCGACTGCTTGCATCACTGACAACCACAACGCATGAAAGAACATCTACACATGACTCAACATGGTTTCCATCGATCCCGGTCTTTCACCGCCTACAAGACAAGCCACAGGTGCTCCTGTTTCCTCCCGCAGGCCAAAGGCATGCTGAGAGCTTAACTGGCCTGTGGGGAAACCGGCCCTGGTGTGTGCGTGCGTGCGTGCGTGCGTGCGCGCGTGTGTGCGCTCTGCGACGGACTGTGTCCCGTCCGGGACAGGCCCCGGCTCTCGCGCCCTCAGTGGGATCAAGCTGTTAGAAAATGGATGGATGGTTTCTGTCATTGCTATCTGTCACTTGGGCTCACTCTGTTAAGTCTCCTCCATTACGCCCACGCCTACATTCTCGAAGCACGCCTCTGTCGAAGACGGGAGGGACGGTCTCCCTTAAACTCTGCGCAAGTCACAAGGCGCAATAACAGGGAGACGCCGAAAACAAGATTCTAAAAAGAGAGAAAGGCCCCCTGCAGTATTGAAAGCCGAGAAGCCAACTTGGAAAAAAAAAGTGTGGCACGAACACTTTAACACCCTCCTCTGCTCTCAGCATTTCACAGCAAGTCACAGTTCTGCCGATACCTGAATGATGCCTGCTAGTAATTACGCTAACCTACCAGTCTGGCTGAAGCCGGAGATTAGCAGAAACAAGAAAAATGTGCTTAATGTTGAGAACTCGCTAAAAAACACTCAGTCCAAGGAGACTGAATGAAGGGACTCGAAAAAAAAATGTACATCTTTCAAACCAACAAGCCAGAACTCTATATTCAAAATACTTATGCATTCAAACTCCCCGGAGCTATGGGGATTAAGCACCTGAGAGTTCTGAATACAGAGCCCACCACACAAAGCCCTTTCGCCATGGAGATTATTAAACAACTTAATAAGAAGCATTTGCATTATTATCAAACCCTTCTAAAATGTACAGACCTTCTTTTTTATAACTCATCCTCCGCACACAAGTCCCACAGCAAAACTGTCCAAACTTGATGCGTGTTGACGTGTGTAAAGACAATCAGATCATGTAGCTGCCCAAGGGCACTTATCTAAATGTCACCAGTTCTGAAGGGGCACGGAGAGGTTTTGGTGTTGAAAATATCCAGGGTGAATCAAACTTATAATTTTCATTTACCAAATGCTCCAGTTTACCAAAAAATTTTTTTTATGATTTAAGGAAAAGCTTAAATAAGAACTAAAATGCACACCTCAAAATAAAGTAAAGGAATACCATGATGTGTACTTAAAAATCTTTCGCTTAGCTTTTACTTCCATTTTTCCCCAATGTTGAAACATGTAACTGAGTTCAGTTTTCTGTCACATTAAATTCTTGCCCATGTGCACCATGTGTAGCAGAACCCCTAACTCCCCCCTCAGCTTTCACAGATACGTCATTCACCCACAAGAAACCAGCACTGGCTCACTACCCTGTGCTCTCCCAAATGGGAGACCTGCTTGTTCAGCTGATGGCGCAGCCAGCAGCCTTTAGACCACATGGTCCAATCTGACAGTCATGAAAAACAGAGGATTAAGTAGCACAAGGTGAAGTCACACTCATTTTGGGAAAGTGCCAACTCTTGCCTTGCTCAGACCCTATCTGACAGTGCAGGAGGCTTCACAGATCCAGCCCTCTCACGTTAGAAATGCAGCACTCCGACATCAGTCGAGTCGTGTTACTAAGACAACCGGCATCCTTATCATTACCATTAAGCTCCGATTTTCTTTTCAAGCCAACATGACAACCAGTGCCCTCCCCGCTGTGCACGTAGCTGTCAATATTGTAAATGTTTGTTCGCAGGCACGACGCTGCAACGCAATGGGTTTCTCCGGTCCCCCACCGCCACACACCATCTCAAGGTGCTCAACAATTCTGTCATTTCAAATTACTCCTATTGTGCCATGACATCGGACAGAGGAAACTTTCCGTTTACTTTGGAGACAACACTGTGAAGCAACAAAGAGGCACTGAGCGAGTTGTGCACATAATGACTGCACTCAACAGTGTGTGAACACACATCTCAACTTCAGTCAAACAGAACCACCTTCTCAGCAGGCAGCTCAGAGACTTTCTGAACATAAATATTTATTGTTAAAGCCAACTGGTCCAATAGAAGGTCATTCTTCAAGAAATTCTGCACAACATTTATATATACTTTATACATGGCTGCAAACAACTTAACCCTTCGCCCCATCAGAGATCAATGAAGACATGTTGAAGTCTAAGATGGATTCAATCTGACCTCAAGCCTGTTCTGCTTGCGAATGGAGCCAGGCAGGACCACAGCTCTGACAGCACCTCAGTACACTGCAGGGCACACTTACACACAACAAGTTAACCAGCACGTCTGTAGGAGGGGAGAAGAAACCTCAGGCAGAAAAGGGGAGAAACTTACGAACTCCACACAGGGGGTGCACAGTAAAACCCAACACCCAAGCACTGAGAAGTCACCCACGCTGGATGTCAAAAAAAGAAACTCAGTAAGAACGTTTTTACCCCCCCAAAAGGTTTGTAATATAACCTAAGTCGGAAAGTGATTTTAATAACCCACTTGATAGCTTTCAGACACAGTACATTCGCCCTTTTCCCCATCTTGTGAATTGGAACAATCCTGTTGTTTTATTTTTAAATAATGAACAGTGATTTTAGCTACAGTAGTTCTTAGCCTCCTTCCGCGGAAGTCTGGTGTGGTTGTCAGGGCGGCCAGCCGGAAAGCTCACCTGTGGCGGTGCGCGTCCTGCCCTCCCTGCCCGTGGATGATCTGCTGCCCCGGGTGCCTGCCCTCCCTGCCGGAGTCGATGTGCGGGATGAGCACGTCTTCCAGCCCCAGGTCGAAGCGCTTGTGCTTCGAGGAGTCGGGGAGGAAGAAGAAGGCCCCGAAGCAGAGGGTGATGAAGGCACTGAGGATGAGGAGCAGGATGAACTTCTCGGAGAGGCGCAGGGTGGCCCGGTGGTGCGGGAAAGAGGACGAGCCGGGGGCGAGGGTGGGTATCCTTCTCCCGGACAGCGGCAGCAGGGCCGGCGTGGTCATGGTGCGCGCCTCTGTCTTTCTTTTGTCTCTGTCTGTCTGTTTTCTTTAAATCGAGGACAGAATAAATATCAAATCGTTCGTGTTCCCCCGGTGCCGCCTGTATTATCTCATCCCGGTGGGGCAGGCTAGATTTTCAGACGGGTTGCATTCTCGCCCCTTCGCTGGCGCAATGTGTCCCCCTTCAGCGGAGAGGCGGCCGCGTATTCTAAGAGAAGAGCAATTACACCCATTACAATAATGAAGGCCATCCTGGAAACATTAGCGCTGCCTTCATTTAAATACCTCTCAGTGACCGAGGAGTCAGCGCAGCACAGTCCCGACATGAAAGCGACATTAATACCTACACAAAAGCACGTGATCACAGCTTAATAATCCGATACGTGTCGTTTTTTTTAATTTATCTTCCTTTAGCAGAAATCATGTGCTATCCGATTTCTTGATGCTTCTCAACACTCTGCGTAAACAGTATTCAAATAAAGTCGGTGACACGCCAAGATACTTAACCCCCGAGCTCCCAGACGGACAACCCGCACTAGTAACTGATCAAAACCAGAAAAGCAACAACAACAAAAAAAAAAGACAAGGTAAAAGGAGGGAAAAATCGTGATGAATCTTATCGACACCAGGGGTTTAACGAAGCGAGAACAGTATCAAGCACTTGGCCGATCAGACTCCCGCGGCAGCCCTCTCAGCTGCCTGCCAACTTTGCGACAACTAAAGAGTAAAATATTAAATTGTCCAGTCACGATTCCAGCTCAGGTTTATGGCTGGCTCTGTGATCTGGGCAACTCTCTGACTGGCCATCAATCACATCTGCAACCCAGCGTGATAAAGGGGAATAACAAACGCCTTAAAATAAGACAATTTTGTTAAGACTCCAATTATCTGAGACTGTCTTTCCACGAATCTCCGACTCACGACGGAAAAACAGCGTCGCAGGGGCGCTAGCAATTCACCCAGCCTGATGTCTCGTACATTAGCAAGCGGCGTTATTGTGCACGCCATCAACGCTCAATGCCCCTCATGCAAGTCACATTTAAAACGGAAAATAATTAAAGACGCATACCGTGCAAATCAGACCGCGATCCATACTCATCCGCAGGTTGGTCTCGTCCGAAACTGAAGTTATTACCGAAACCCAAACCGAGAAAAGACATCGGTTCACGTCCGCAGCAGTCGTTGAGACAGCAAGCCTGTCACCCCGCGAAAGAAATGTCGTTTCAAAACTAAAATGATCAGCGGTTCTCTTTTTTAAAAAGGGGGGGGGGAGGCAGGCGACTCTCACATCTCTAGAGGAGCTAAACACACACTCACACACAAAAAGCAGTACTAGGGGAATGTGTGGCGAGAGGGCGAAGCGCTGAGCCGGGCTGCTCTGTTACATGGGGAGACGGACCTCCAACAGGCCCGATCAGCAGGTACCGGCGGCTCAGCCCCGCTGCAAATGCATTCAAACAACACGCTGGACTGAGGAGAGGAGGGGGGAGGAAAAAACGAGAGAGAGAGAGAGAAACCCGCACAGGTGCGCCACCAGACTGCTCTTCCGTGCCAGAGTCTCCGTATCTTTGTCTCTGTATCTCTGTATCTCTCCGAGGAGCCGCCTGAGACGGACCGCCCGGCTCCCCCGTCCAGCGCAAGCGGTCAGCCCGGGCGGACGTGTGCATGTACACCCCCCTCTCCTCCCCCTGGCGGTACCGGCCCTTTCCCGACCTCCTTTCCAATATGCCCTGCTAGGCGGACACTTATCTATCCCCCCCGCCTCTTTCTTTTCCCTTCTCTCATTAAAACGGTATCCCCTCCATCGGAGATGTTGTTGATGCGGCTGCTCCTCCTCCTCTCAGTCCTCCAGCATCCCATCAACAACCGGGCGGGGAGACGTTAGGGAGCGTCGCTCAACTCCTAACCCTGAAAGTGCGCGGAGCGATCTGCTTCTGCGCCGGCCGAGAGTCAGGGTCTCTTAGGGATGGTGAGCAAATTCAACGCTTGAAAGGCTAGGCGGTATTAACCCTTACACCCAGCCCTGTGTGCACGCTTAGATAAGAAATCGCAAGGTACAGTACGTGGTTTGTTTTATTTATCTTGGTAGTGCATTTTTTTATTATATTATAAGGTGCTTTGAGTTATTAACTCAATTATTTGTATCCTTTTTATTCTTGCGGACACATACAGTACATGTTCTAAGGCAAAGGCTAGGATGAAACATACCTCCCGCATGATTTTGAAGGATTTGCAGAATCATGCCGTCATTTTCAGATACCTGTACGAATTCTGATTGTCATACCTTTTTTTTTAAATAAGGAGTGCAGTTCAAAGCTGAATAACTTATGAACAGGATATTTATAAACAGACCTTCCCTGTGGTTCAAGACTTATTCATTTCTTTTCTACATATAGTGATATGTTGGTTCTTTCCTAGATTTACGGTGAGTGAGCAGATATCCCACACTGACAAGACTACTGACCTCTAGACCAGTGGTTTTCAACCTGTGGGCCGCGGCCCCCCAGTGGGCCGCGGAGGTACTGCAGTGGGGCCGTGAAACCATTCAACGTGGCAACTAATTATGACAACGTTGTAATCAGGGCAGCGCTGTAACCCCCGTCTCTGTGTGTACGTTTCCCGGTTCAAGTTCAAGTTAATCAATGTGTTCAACCCTATTCCCTGAGTCCCATGCCTGCTCCATTCCGAACCGAAACCCGAATTCGTTACAATATGTAGAATTGGATAACGCGACCTGTTCCCCTGCAAGACTGAGCAACAGACAAGCTTACATTTAACTAAGGTGGGGAGCTGCGTCTGCATGTGTAGGCTGCAAAGGAACAAATAAGAGGTTTATTCCATGCTGGAAAAAAAGAAGAGATAAAACACAACGTTTCAGCCGTGGAATAAACCTATTACTTGTTCCTTTACATTTAACTTAGCTGTGTTCGTTAGTGTGCAACATGAAAGCGATCCAGAAATGTAACTCATGCAGCGAGAAACGCAAAGAACAGAAAAGTCAATAAGAGAGGAAAAGTTTAAAGTGGACTTTATCAGTTTCTTACTGGACACTGTCATCAGTGAGACAGAAGGACGTTTTTCTTTCTTGAGCGAATTCAGCCGTCTTTTTTTAGCATTTTGTTATTATTAAAAATACGGTATTAAAAATAACGGAGATAATTCAACTGAAGCTGCAACGAACCGCTATTCCAGACACAGTGAAAGCATGTCAAGTGTTTTTAACAATTCCAGTTGGTGTCGCCACGGCTGAATTAGCAAACTGAAATTGATCAAACTTTACCTCAGGTCCAGCATGTCGCAGGACAGACTGTCAGCTCCGGCGTTGCTGTCTGTAGAGAACCGCGCCGCACAGCGATATTTCAGCGATATCATCGACGATTTTGCTGCGACGAAAGTGCGACAAGTCAAGTTGTAAACTTTTAAAAAAGCTTGTTACTAAGTATCAAGTTCAGCATGGTAGCCCGGTTGAATCCTGCCCTCTTGCGCTGTGTGCACCTGCGGAGGCAGAAGGAAGCCGGAGGGATTTTACTCGCACCCGAGCACAGGCATGGGTTGCGCCGGCCCTGGCTGCAACAGTCGTACATATATCACATATATAATATAAATAACATAATATAAACATTTGTATATATTATGGCTTAGCAATGCTGGCATGACGTGACCGCCATTTAGCGCTATTACATGTGACATGACAAGAAGGCTAATGCAGAATGTAGTAGAACTGCCTGCCTACGCTTCATGTCAGGGATAAGTGGCTTGCGTTTGGTTCTCTTACGAAGACACAGAGGAAGGCCCATCTACGAGCAAAGAACCCGCTTCAGTGTCTTATACCGGTAACCCAAAATCCAAACCCAAACTAAAAAAGAGAAAAGGGGAACTGAGAACGAGCAGGTGCCGCTGTGTGCTGTTCTGAAGTGTTATCAAACGGGGCTTTAAAGCCAAACAAAATACGTCTCTGCAGCCCGACATCCAGCATTTGGTACAGTATGTATCAAGGAGAACCAGCCCTCTCACTAAGTGAGCCAGAAAGACGGTGCGCGTGTTCACAGCCGGGCTAGTTGCAAGCTACTGAGTGACTGTGGGTCCTGCGGCCACTGGAAAATCTACGTGTTGAATATAATGTAACGGATGGGGAGTTAACATATACAGTACTTCTGATTTATAATTATTTTGATGGTTATTGTGCACATTTTTGTTTCTCAACGTCCTCATAAATTCACCGGCACTTGCGTACAAATATTCAGTTCCTTTTGATTCCGCTCGCTCAGTTTTGTTTCCGACAAGGCTAACGTTACGCACGAGAGATGTCATAATTAAGAAAGAGCTGTACCGATGCCTTAGTTTTTACAATATTTTTCTTATTTTTATTTTTTGTGAGGTGCTGACTGGACTCCTGTAATCAATAAACGGTCTTTGTAAAGCCATGCTTGTAGCTTGTATAGTATATGCGTGTTTTCTCCGGTTACCGGTGTCGATTAGGCTACTGCTGAGGTATAGAGCTTGCCCGTTTCAAACGGCGAGGGCGGCCGGGTCCTTGTGTGGGCCGAGAGCTGGTCAATACAGTAGCTGCACGGTCTAGGCCAGCAGTTTCCAGCCCCTTTCGAGATTAAGGGCCCATTTGCAATTTTCCCTATACTGTATTTTGAGGATCACGGCATGCGTCCAGCTGTTTTGACACTCCGTTATATATGAAATAATCTGCACTCCGAAGACACACCTTAAGATGTACACGCCTTAAAGTTTCATTCGTTACCTCGACATACTTGCATAGCAGCGCTTGGGCGTGAATATACCGTAAGTGCAGTGTGCCGAGTAACTTAATGAGATAGCTGGTGTTGTTCGCTGACGTCACAGACGAGATGTCGCGTCAGCCTTAATTGTGATTCCACGTCGCGTTTTGTTGCCGCGGACTGGCTGTAGTCGTTTACTGGACCACAAGGGGACCGCTGACCGCTCGCCGGTCTGAGCCTCTCATTCCTGACTCCAGGAATGCGGGTCTCGTCTGCACGGACTGTGAGCGAGTTACTGCGTATCTACAAGCATGATGATGACACCACAACGTATATACCCTTCTACTTGTCAGTTTCATGAGTGCTTCACAATACGTAGACGTTCCGTTAAAATAAATAAAATCTCCATGAGTCTGATCTCCGTTTGCATCCTATTTCATGACCCTCAGCGACTGAAAATCCTTTGGACTCGAAACACAAGTCATTTCCGTACACCCGTTGTGAAAGTTTGTCAACAGCATGGAAAGTAACGAGGCACCAGCTGAATGGACAGACGAGTTATACTGTAGACTCATTTGGAGGAGAATTCCAAGCACTATACATTAGCACTAACTGAATAAAAAGTAGCTCATATGAGCACCAGGGGCACTGCTATCCCCACAACTTCATAAATTTTTTTCAGAAGCATAAGCTTCCAAAGCAAATTTGATGTCACAGCCAGTGACAGGGACTTCGGAACTCAAGATGCTACTCTGTGAGCTTGCCCAGACAAGACTTTGCTGCATTTAGATTCTTACTAACTCAAAACTGAACATCTATGCATGATTTCAATAATTCATTGACTGGACGAGCAAAGGTTCATATTAATATTGTATAAAAACAAAGTCCAGGCAGAAAAACAGTTAATCTTCATAAAGGTCCTGGTAATAATATTTTTGGAGTGAGGATTTTTGGAGTGAGTGTGTGCGTGCCTGGTACTCGCTGGGATCGGCTCCAGCACCTCCGCAATCCTTTACCGGATAAAGGGGTTAGAAAATGGATGGATGCAATCAGGAATGCGAACGGATAGTTTTCACTCACAACTGGGTTTGAAGCACACTTAGCAGTTTTATTCTGGTATAATAAGGGGTAAAATATAATTGCCTTTCATAAGTTTAAATGAAACATAGCAATCACTGAGCAAGTAAAGTGTCTTGTTTGAGTATTATAGGAATACTAGTATTTTGGAAATTAAAATATATATATAGCTTTAAAAAGCAGGGCCTAGGTGGAAATCAGATGAACTGGCTGCACGTTTATGGATCGTGTCAACAATATGGCAGGTTTACAAGCCGAGTGAAAGCACTGACGGCACTGTTAATGTGGTGTGGAGGTCCATTATGGCAACAACTGGGAAAGGGAAAAGGGGATGAGACCAACGGACAAGTTAGAAAAACAATTCCACCTTCGTTAGTATGGAATAAAACAAGCAGCCACTGGAGCAGCCACCACCACCAGTGTGCAGCCCCACCTGGATGATGCTCCAGTCCACTCCCCACACACCAGCTCTCAGTGGGGAGGAGAGCAGAGTGATGAAGCCAGTTCAGAGAGGGGGATTATTAGGAGGCCATGATTGGTAAAGGCCAGAGGGGTAATTTGGCCAGGGTTATACCCCTACTCTTTTTGAGAAGCACCCTGGGATTTTTAATGACCACAGAGAGTCAGGACTGCAGGGTGAGCGCCCCCTGCTGGCCCATTAACACCTCTTCCAGCAGCAACCTTAGCTTTCCCAGGAGGTCTCCCATCTAGGTACTGACCAGGCTCACACTGCTGAGCTCCAGTGGGCTGCCAGTGGGGAGCTGCAGGGTGATATGGCTACTGGCAAAAGAAGAAGTTCTAAAATACAAATAAAGTGACCTGAATGAACTTCTACTTGTAGCATTTCATGTCCACACTGGAAACATTCTTCTCTCATGGGATTTGAGTCTGTTTTAAATCAAGACTCAAGATGAGTTGTTTTTTGTGCAAGACCTCAATGAATAATGCATAATCAAGAACCAGGCTATCCATTAATTCTTTGCTTTTCATAATGTGATAATTAAATATAGTCTGGGTAATGGGACATTTGTGAGTATCCTGAGTGCTTCTTTT